CTTGGTGGCATAGAGAGCCACACATGGAGCCGCTAAAGACAAGTCAGTGGTTCAAATTCACCAGCCATGCTGAGAAGATAAGGCTCTCTGCTGTCTTTAAGACTTACTGTCTCAGAAACCCAGAGAGGTAGTTCGACTCCGCCTACAGGGCTGTGAGTTGGAAATGGACTTGGTGGTAGTGAGTTCAGGTTGTTTTTGTTTTGTCTTGTTTGGGTGAGGCTAATACAAATGTATTAGTGAGAGAACTTCCCTGCAGCTCGCCGCTAGGTGCAAAGACAAGTTTAAATACATTTTGTTTGGGATAAACCCAAACTCGAACCCTAGTGAGAACAAGAACCCTAGCCGCTATTACTAGCTTGTGTTAAAAAAAATTTCTTGGAAGAAGCCTTTCTTGCTTCTAATTTTGGAGTCAGATCTCTAGATAGTAAAACAAGAGAGTTTCAGCAGAATAAGCGTTTCAGATTTTTTAGAGTTTCACATTTTTTTGAGTTCCACATTCTAATTGTTCCCATTTCTAGCAAGTGTCGCATCCCCAAACAGAAATACATGATTCTGTCCATGTATCAAGTTGACTTAAATGAGTCTTCTCTTTTCATCTTTTTAAAATAACATTAATCACTTTATTGGGGGGGGCTCTTACAAATCTTATGATAAGCCAAAATGCAATTGTATTAAGCACACTTGTACCTATGTTGCCATACATTTCCAAAACATTTCCTGTCTACTCAAGCCTTTGGTATCAGTTCCTCTTTTTCCCCATCCTCCCTCACCTTCCCACCCCTGTGCATCCTTGAGCAATTATATATCATTGTTGTTATTTCCTGTCTTACACTGTTCATTGTCTCCCCTTTACCCACATTTCTGTTATTTTCCCCCCTGGGGGTGGGCTATATATTCAACCTTGTGATGGGTTTCCCCTTTCTCCCCCACCCCCACCATCCCCCAACCAAATGAGTCCTCTTTGTCTTAAACATAAGCATGCTACTTAGACTTCCCATAATGTAAAGCATAAGTTAACGCCCTCTTGCTTCTCCTTACTCTACCATATCTGTGACATGGCTTCTTTTTGCTGCTGAGGAAGCTGATGCCCAAGAGTTGTTAGAATCATGCTTCTAAGCCCTTTCTGTTAAACCTAGCAGCCAGTGCCTTCTGAAGCCTTCACAAAGGCCCTCATAGGTTCCTTGCATGAAACACATGCTTGGGGGCTAGTTCATTCTTCAACTTGGCCTGTACACTTTGTTCCTGTCTTGGTTTGCTAGGGCTGCCATCTCACAAATACCATGAATGAGTGACCCTAAGGGACAGAATTTATCTTCTCCCAGTTCTGGGGGCTAGAATTCAGGGTTTCGTGTGTAGGGGGTGTCCTTTAGCTTCTTTCAATGTATTGCCAACTCTGAGCTTTGAGATTCACCTGCCTCTGTCTTCACCTGCCTGTCTTTTACCTGTCCACCTGTGCAGTGCAGGAAACACCACTCATAGGGATTAGGTTCAGGACCCATTGTACGCTTGTATGGCCTCATTTACACAACAAAAGAAACTCCCGGTTCTCAAACAGAGTCACATTCATGGGTTAGGACTTTATAACATAGACTTTAGGGACGCCTAGTTCAGTCCATAACACCCCATATGCCTGGCTGTTTTTTGCTTTATACTCTCCTCCCTCCCCTGATAGCCGTTGGTGACCTGCTTTCTGTACATCTGAGCTGTCTGTCCAGTATGGTAGCCAGAGTGCGGTGGTTAAGTGTTCACCTGCCAGCCGAAAGGTCAGCTGGTACAAAAGACCTGCTGACCTGCTCTTGGAAAGATCACAGCCTGGGAGACATGATGGGCAGCTCTGTCCCGTAGGGTTATTAGGGGTTGGAATTAACTCGGTGGCACCCAACAGTAAGGCAAATGCTCAAAAGTGCTCAACTACTACCCCAAAGGTTGGTGGTTCAAAACCACCCAGAGGTGTTTTGGAAGCCGGGACTGAACATCTCTCAAAAGGGCACAGCCTTGAAAAACCCTAGAGCACTTCTTCTCTAGTTCAGTCCCAGCTACATGTGGCTCTTTAAATGTAGCCAGTCCCGGCTGAGCTATTCTGTAAATATAAGATGCTCCAAGTAATTTAAAGATTTGACGGGGGGGAAAAACTTACTGCCATCGAGTCAATGCTGCCTCATCGCAACGTCTTATGGGGTTCAGAGACTGTAACTGTTGACAGGAGTGGAAAGCCCAGTCTTTCTCCCTTGGAGCTGCTGGTGATTTAGAACTCTTGACCATGTGGACCGCAGCCCATTGTGTAACTACTATACCACCAGGGCTCCCTCCCTGAGAGGTAAAAAGGGAGGTCAAGTGAGGCAAAAAATTTTTTATATTACTGCATCTTGAAATAGTATTATTTTGGATATTGGGTTAATGGAAAATCTGTTATTAAAATTAATTTCACCATGTTTTTAGGAAACGTGTGGTTACTAGAAAATTTTAAATTGTACTTGTGTCTCACATTGTATTTCTGTGGAAGGGCAAACTCCCCCAATCCCAGCCTTTTCTGACACCCTAATCAGTCCCAGCACGGTCCTGAATTTATAATTTTCTATCTGGGCCACCACTACACCCTATTCTCTCGATAACATTTCCTGTTGATGGCATTTCTTCAGGGGTGGCTGGGCCTTCTGAGACCAGGTCTGATTCCCTGGGTTACCCCCACCCTGTGCCCACTCCAACAGGCATCTGCTGAAAAGGAGGGAACCAGAGAACAAAGAGAAATAATGAGACGACTTTCAAACTATTAAAGTAGAGGAATGGAATCATCTTAGAATCCTCTACGCTTTGAGGAACCCACGCGGCTTTAGCATTGCAAAATGCCTGGGCGAGAGGAAGGTTTGACTCAGGACTTCACAGTCTTTTTTTCTTTAAAATAAAGACGTTTATTTTTAAAATTTTTAATCGTTTTATTAGGGGCTCATACAACTCTTATCACAATCCATACATACATCAATCGTGTAAAGCACATTTGTATATTCATTGCCCTCATCATTCTCAAAACATTTGCTCTCCACTTAAGCCCCTAGCATCAG